GCTTGGAGAGGGCTCGTACAGTACGGTCTATTTAGCTACTGATCGACAGACTCTCAAGGAGTACGCCATCAAAGTCCTCGAGAAGAAGCATATCATCAAGGAGAAGAAGATCAAGTACGTTAACATTGAGAAGAATACCCTGAATCGCCTCACCGAGCATCCTGGAATCGTACGCCTTTACTACACGTTCCAGGACGAAATGTCTCTATACTACGTTCTTGACCTTTGCAACGGCGGCGAACTGCTTGGAGTACTGAAAAAGACGGGCTCCTTTGATCTGGAGTGTACGAGGTTCTACAGCGCCCAAATACTAGACGCCATCGACTACATGCATTCGAGAGGAGTCATCCACCGCGATCTCAAACCCGAGAATGTCCTCTTGGACGACCACATGCATGTGAAGATTACAGATTTCGGCACAGCCAAGCTACTCAAAGACCCGAGAGAGGCGCAGAATGTTGCTGAAAGCGCGCGGGGACTGCCCGAGAATGGCCGCAGCGAGGCAGACGAAGACAACCGGGCAGCTTCATTCGTGGGTACCGCCGAGTATGTCAGTCCCGAACTCCTGACCAGCAAGAACGCCTGCAAGGCGAGCGATCTGTGGGCTTTCGGATGCATAGTATACCAGCTATTAGCAGGTCGTCCACCCTTTAAAGCCGCAACGGAATATCTCACGTTTCAGAAGATTGTCAACTTGGAGTACGACTTCCCTACCGCCTTTCCACCAGCAGCCCGTGATCTAGTAGAGCGATGCTTGGTCCTTGACCCAGCCCGTCGTCTCACTGTCGAGCACATCAAAAATCACGAGTTCTTTGACGGACAAGCATTTGGCAAAGGCTTATGGAGAACCAAAGCCCCACGCCTTCGACCTTATAATCCTACACCACAAGATCCGACTGTCATTCAACTTAACGGTGTGAGCAACAGTCCGAACTCTGCTGCACCGCCAAGGAGCTCCCAGCCGCAAAGTTCGGCCCTGAATGGCAGCGCTCGACCAGCCAGGATCATCACGGAGCTTCCTCCTCCAACCCAGCTGGATATTGAGTGGTCTCCAGTCTTGACGAAGAATAATGAGAGGATTCTGAAACTGGGCGACTTGATGGTCGTCTCGAGCCCCCTGCCGAGCGGCCATGGTAAAGGCGGCGAGCACGCCGAGGGACACAAGAAGCTATCGAGGTTCTTTGGCGGAAGTACGACCAAGAAGAGACAGAGGCTGGTGATGATAACTTCAAGCGGCCGCATACTGCTGGCACCGGCTGGCGGAGAAGAAAAGCGCGCCAAGCAAGAGATTTCACTGCTTGCACCCGAGTGCACCTGGAGGACGCAGCTTGACGTGAAGGGGCAGACTGTATGGTGTGTCGATGCGGTAAGTATCCTGGACAAAAAGTCTCGCCGCTCATCTAAAATCCGACAGGGCGGCGTCCACTACACATTTGAGGAGCCCAAGGGAAGCTCCAGCTCTTCAGAGAATGGCACCACAGCCAGCGACTGGATAGAGTCCCTAGAGAGAGCCAAGGAATTGGCCTTGTCTCAAAATCTCTCCGGCTCTTATGCCGGCGACAACGGCTTCGATATGTCATCCACAGTGTCGAGCCCGGCCAGCACTCTTGGTGGACGAGGCGTTTACCCTGATAGCTTCAGTGTCAGCGACCGATCCGGCCGGAACCATCTCAGCAAAAGCCAGGCCAGTCTGGATGATTCAGCTTCTACTACCAAGCGAAACCGTTTCAGCAAAAGACAGTCCAAGAATGGTCTTGGCCAACAGTTCTAATTAGTTTGAGGCTTACGACGTCTGGGGCCATAAGATCTTCACGGATCTCAGGGAGGGTTGAGGGTTGAGGCGAGAACAGCGGCTTTCAGGCAGAGAGCCAGCGAGAGAAACTTATTAGAAGTTTGTAATGCAACGAAATATGGTTCAGGAGGAAGCATTCGGGAGCGTGGCGTATTATCGGCTATGCACTCTTCGACAACTTGACCTCTTTTACAGGGAAGTCCTGCAGCTTTCCACTCAATGGAAGCATTCACGAGGTGGGGATTGTGGTCTTCGCTGCTTCGCTCAGGGGGTTTTAGGGGTCTAATAGGTCCTCGGAGAAAATTAACCCACGAGATTTGAAAACCGTGATCATGCGTGTGCTCCCATCAATATCCAATGACCTTCTGGAAATGGAGCGAATACCGCCGCCGCACGCAGGTGGACTCAGAAACCGTATGTACGGATGACGTTGGTAGATGTAATCAGGTATTTGCCTACCTACCTGATGTGAAGCCACCAACATCAGAGGAGAGCATAGCAGTGTTGGTGTAAATGTCTATAGCTTGTAGATGAAAGGTGACGGGAGGTAACCGTTCTCGCGAAATGGTTACATTATCTCTATTGTGGTAGTCTTTTGGCACTCGAGCATTATGGACGGGTGGTGGAGGTATACCACGTTAGTACCAGGTGTGACTCCCGTCTGCTGGAGTGGCTCGGATATCTACCTAGGTACCTAAGGTACTCTCAGTTAATGTGGAGCCTGGACAGGGGCTGCTGCATCAACCGGCCAATTGTGGCCGGTATAGGTGCTACCTTGCGCCTGACCCTGCGCCTTCGCCGCCCGTCGTTCACTCATGCACGCGCGCGTTTGAGAAACGACGCGACCTCTCACATTTGGCATCTTTGGCAGCGTTATCTATGATTCTCGATCCTCAGTGGGAAAAAAATCTGGTTGTCGTCATTTGCTTTGCGCGCATTTTTCCAAAAGTCATCATCGAAAATGCAGCCCCAGTACCGCCAATACGCCGCCCATGCTGGCGCGCCGCAGGTTCCCCAGCGGGCTCCACATGCCCCAAATCAACGGAGAGGCGGCATCGGTATGCCCGTTCCTTCTTTACCTTAGCCTTTTGGGACCTCGGATACCTTTTTCCCTTGCTCTACTGTTGCGCGACAAGTCCCAAAGTGCTAGACACGACGACGATTGTGCTAACTATGCCGCCCAAAGGTCCCATCATGCCTCCGAGCCATCATGCTCAAGCAGCCATGAACCAGGCCGCCATGGCGCAGCACCATCCTCCGGGCCAGGCCCTCACGAGCGAGCTTGCCAAGCGTCGCAGCAGAAAGCCGACCGATAAGACATTGCCTGATGGTGTCGACGAATGCATCACGGATACCGAGGTCGCCCAGAGATACAAGGATTTGCGCGACTTTGAGCGACGTTTGGACGCAGCCATGACGCGCAAGCGACTCGACATTGTCGAGACAGTTGGACGAAACGCAAAGGTTAGTAAATCTACGCAATGCGACTTCATTAGGAGCCATCCTCATCCCTCTCGGCATCACGCGACAGCAGAGCTAAGTCTTGCATTATAGCACTACAAAACCCTTCGTATCTGGATCAGCAATACTGTCGAGGACCAGGCATGGCAAGGAAGTGGTCTCAGCGTTGATAGCTTCGACTTCACCCCCAGCGCCGAGCCTTCTTACAGGGTCAAGATCGAGGGACGACTACTCGAGGACGGATCGGACGACACGTCGGGAGAAACTGACCAGAAGATGGAGTCTGCAGAAGTAGAAGGCGCGACTGGGTCAAGGAGACAAAGTTCTGCGCCTGTGAGCCAGAAACATCGACTTTCCCATTTTTTCAAAGCGCTGAACGTCGATTTCGATCGTACCCGCTCGAGGGCCGCATCCGATCAGACCGTGGAGTGGAAGAAACCTGCTTCGCAAGGCGCAGCGGCAAGTGCAGACTTCGACGAGTTCACCTTCAAGCGGAGCGGGGACGAGAACATGAACATCACTATCAACCTCCATCGCCAGGAAGATCCGGAGCGATATCTTCTCAGCCCTGAGCTGGCCGATGTTGTGGACATGGCTGAGGCTTCCCGCCAAGAGGTTGTCCTCGCAATTTGGGAGTACATCAAAATGATGGGTCTCCAAGAAGACGAGGAGAAGCGCAACTTCCGTTGCGATGAGCTTCTTAAGAAGGTTTGCTGTGACCTAACCAAGGAACGATGTTTGGCGTCTAACTAGTTGTCTAGATTGTCAACGGCAGCGATACTGGTATCATTCCTAACCTGAATGATTACATCCAACCCCACCTCCAACCTCTGCCACCAGTCAGCTTACCATACACCGTACGAGTTGACGAGGATTTTCACAGCGACGCACAGCCCACCATCTACGATGTGCGTGTGGCGGTAGATGACCCCTTGCGAGCCAAGCTGGTACCTTTTGTTACCACTCCTGCGTATGCGAGCGCCCTCAAGGAGGTTGTTGCTATGGATGAACAGCTAGCAACGCTTATCTCGGCCGTCGCGAGCTCTAAGGCGAAGCACTCGTTCTTCACGTCAATGAGCCAAGACCCCGCCAACTTTGTGAGAAATTGGATGAGTTCGCAGAAACGGGATCTTGAGATCATCATGGGAGAAGCAACCAGAGGAGGAGGCGAAGATGCCACGGGCGACGACTGGCGACGAGGTGGCAGGGACAGCGTTTGGACGACATCCAACGCGCGCGAAAGCGTCAGTGTCATGCTTGCCAAGCAAGCCCCGCAGGCGTCTAGGTGATGCGAGCAAAGTAATGAGTTGCGCGTGTTGAATTATTCTTATTTGCGCGAGGGATTCCCCCCCTCACGAACTCGGGCTGAAAAAGAGGGGCGTCAAGGGTTGAGGCTGGCTTGTGATGATGCGCGATATCATACTGTATTGTTTTCAAAGTGTAATGGATTATCGGCCTAGTGGGCGTTGACGAACCAACATTGACCAGGTCTACCGAACCTCGAACATCGTCCGCGTGTGTGACATCAATGGAGGAGCCCAGCGGCGATAGTACTAAAATCCGAGGCGGTGATTTCCCCGCAAACGACGCCTGCCGGCCCCGTGGCACCATCTGATGGCCAACGGGCTGCAAGAAGCACATTTGCCTATATAAATCACAAAGACTTACGAGATGCCTGAGCTTGCACTCCAGTTTTGAGAGGATAATTTTGTTTGTCTACATTCCACGCACTGACATCGATTAAGCAATGGCATCCTTCTTCGTCCCTGGCAACACGGCTGTCATCACTGGCGGTGCATCTGGCATTGGATTGGCAATCGCCAAGAAGTGCGTTGGCCATGGAATGAAGGTCCTCGTAGTTGATCGCGATACGAAGCTTCTTCTGGCGGCAAAAGAAGCCCTTGGAGAGTCCTCTGCCACATTCGAGCTGGACGTGAGCCTCCTTCAGGATTGGGAGACGCTCAAGACGGAAGTGAATACTTTCATTGAAGGTACATTCCTCCTTTCCTCCATTCTCGCGTCTCCATGGTTGCAACGCCTCATGAGGCCCTCCGTTTCACGTACCAACTGCTACTCCAGGACGTATTGATCTATTGGTTCTCAATGCCGGCATCGGTGGCAAGTCGTCATGGCAGGATACAGACAGCTTCCGTAGAATCTTGGACACCAACTTATACGGCGTCATCAACGGAATCAGCAGTCTGCTACCCTTCGTTGGAAGTGGGCAGTCTTCCAAGTCGGCCATCGTCATCACGGGCTCTAAGCAGGGTATTACGAATCCACCAGGAAACCCAGCGTACAATGCCAGCAAGGCGGCTGTCAAGTCTTTGGCTGAGCACCTATCGTTCGACTTGAAAGACACCGCCACATCTGTGCATCTCCTAGTGCCGGGCTGGACGTTCACAGGCCTTGCTGGTGCTGCCCCTGGCAGGGAGAAGCCTGCCGCTGCTTGGAGAGCGGAGGAAGTGGCCGAGTATCTGGAGGAGAAGATGACCGAAGGATTATTCTACATTCTCTGCCCAGATAATGAGGTAACCGAAGAAATGGATCGCAAGAGGATGATGTGGAGTATTGGGGATATTGTCGAAGGCCGGCCACCCCTGAGTAGATGGCGTGATGATTACAAGGATGAGGCACAGGCATGGATGGCCAAACAGCAGTACTGCTAGCTAATGGGACACCTTGTTTGTGAATAAAGCAGAAAGAAGAACCGCTTGTCGCTATCGTCTGTCGATTGATGAAGAGCAATGCACTCATGAAGGACTTCATGTCTGTCGTCTTCCTTGTCTCTGGAAACCCGAGCTCAAAACGCCGCGCAAATGCGAATCCCATCATTGCATCTCCCAACCCTTACTTCCCACTGCTAGTAACGATTCACCGACAAATGCATTGTAGAGCCCTTCCATGGGTAAGACACAGCTATGTAAGTCAAACCTATTGCATTACAACTAGGCCATAAGGCAACAAAACCCGTTTGCCTGTAGTCGACCTAACCGCCACCTGGCATGCCATGCCTCTGAGGCGGCACTGGGTTCGGTGGCATATTCCTGATTTGTTTGATCAAAAACTCTCTTTCGTCGATGAATTGCTCGTCATCGGTTCTATCCTCCAAGAAGTGAGACAGGAATGTAAGCAGTTTCTCCCGGTTCATGAGTAAGATCTTCTGGACCGCGATGGATTTGTGGGGGTTGGCCACAAAAACCTTGAAGACATGAAAGCCCTCATACTGCACCATCTTGCGATCGTCTCTCAAGAGGTTCATGCATATCTTGAGATGCTCTCCACGGTCCACGTACGCTGTCATGACGCTGTAATTTGAACGGTCCAGCAAGATTTCACCCAAAAGCTTGATGGACTGCCGCTTGGTAACATAGCTGTTTGACTGCACAAGGATGTTGTTGTACTTGTCGAAGAATAGGTCAAAGTTGACAGAGAGGTATCTCGGCACCAGCTCCTTGTGTTTTGTCAGAAGTTCCTGCAAGACGCGAGTGTTAGCGACGTAGTCTTGAGCCCCTTTAGTCCCTCCAAGTAAGGGGGTTTACCCTGAATGTGGTAAAGGCATCCGCGGCTACTTCGAATGAGCTCTTGTCGACCCAGTCAAAAAATCTCCAAAAGACGCCCTCGCCGCTCTGTCGACGGTCCCTGTCAATCAAGTTGATGCCCTTATTGCTGGACCCAGACTCCTCGTTGTCGTCGTAGAGAATGATGGCGGCAGCAGCCTCCGACTTGAGAACTTCTCGAAGGACAGAGCCGGCAGGTGTTGCACTCTCTTTATGTTCGTAGCCGCGGCACAGTTCGAGGAGGACTTGTGGACGGTTGTTGACGACATAAGACAGAGCTAGAGGATCGCTTTTCGGGGATGCCGTAGGCGGGCGGAATCGGAAAACGTAGGAGAAGATGACCTGGGTGTCTTTCCTCGATTCGAAGGGCAGACGCCAAAGGTTCACCGCCAGTAAGTACAACAAGTCTTCCTCAATCAAGCCGGTGACCAGCTGGTATATCTGTTCTGGGCTGCTATCGGACTCTGACTTGAAGTTAACGGCTGACTTCGACAAGGGCTGTATGAGGCAGGCGTACCATGGGTTCCCTGCAAGATAAACTTCATCTGGTTCAGGACTTTCGCGAGCTCTTCGGCCTGGATTGGAAATGGACGTTAGAGATCAAGCAAGTGCTAGCTAGAGCTGGAGGGTGTAACCAACCTTGGCGGCGCCATTTGGCCCTTCGAGTTTCGTTACGTGGTCTCTGGCTTGTTTGGGTAGGTCAACGGCAGGCCTTGTCCGAGCCCGGCCGAAGAGGAACGACATGGCGAAGGTGGTGGGCTAGGCCAAGAAACGATTTCCTGGGGACCGCCGGACGGCTCGCTGGTGAGGCCACAAATAGCTATGGTTCCCGATCTTGTGTATAAGGAATGGGCAGGTAGTAGCTAATCGCTACGACAGGCAGCTCCTGAACCGGGCTCGTTGGCAACAATCGGTAGCTGATATCGAAGGGGTGGTGGGCTGAGATTCGAGCCGTTCGATGTGGGACAGCCTAGGCGGGCTCCGTCGACGAAGGTATTTGTTTTGCGGCGATGGTCTACCGGGGACAAGATGGAAAGGCACGATTCGAATGAGGGGAGGCAGAGAGGAGGCAGAGAGGAGGAAAGAGGAAAGTCTCAGATTGGTCGAAAGAGAGGAGACAGGCCGATGGGCGTAGTGTTGGGCCGAGTCCGGGTCGGGGTGTTGTTTACGTTAATACACGGCGGACGACGATCCCGCCGAGAAACACTGAGGATTGGAAGCGTTGCTCTTGTGATGAAAGTGGTTGCTTGGGGACGTCAAATTGGCCTGCACCTTCTACTGAGACCGCACGTTGCCTCGCCTCCTAGGCTTGGGTGACACTCCTTGGATCAGGTACCCAGGGCACCTTGGGGCTGGCCTTGTAGCATGCCTGTTTGGAAGACCTGGGGAGGTACCTTCGTAATGTCTGTGAGGTGAGGTCCAGGCGGTGACCTCGGGACTGAGTTGCCCTGGGGGAAGAACCCAACGAATGGGCCACCACAGTAAAGTGCTGGTTCGGAGTGGTGCGAGAACAACGGACCTGGGACCTACCACCTCAAGTTCCGTGCCAACGTAGTCGTTTAAGTTGTGTGCGTGTGTGCGTACCTTAGACACCTAGGCACCTGGGAGCGTTTTTGCTCTCCACCTGGTACTTTGGGTTCCTTCACTGTATCTCCTCCCGAAGTGCCCCTGACTCCGTATACGGAGTACCTACCTTATTCCCTGTAGGAGCACCAAGAATACCCGGGCACTGGGGTTCCTACGGATGTCGCCAGTACTCACCCACCAACCCCTCACCTACCATGCTGAGATGACTAAGGAAGGTAAACTGAGTGCCGGTCGTCTGAGATGACTTGGTCGATTGCCCCGCGCTCGATAAGTCAATCGAGAAAAAATTACCCCACTGACTCACCTCACGCACTGAACCCCTCCAAATACCCCCAAGTCACCCACGTCCTCTCAGATCCATATCCTCAGTACCTTGGGTTTTGACTCACATGACCCATTGACGCTTCTTCGTGATCTTTCTAAGAGCTCTTCGTTTTTAGAGGGCTTGGCTTCGTTGATCTCCAGAAGCTACGCAGCTCCCGCCTACCTTCCTCAACGAAACCCTGCCTACCAAATTCACTACTGTTTTTGGTGTGACAATATTCGGTTCGGCAGAGCCGCAAACCGCAACCAGGCTACGTTCCCTCACGCGGTTCTTGACTTCAACTTTGTCGCCTTTCGAGCAACATCATGTCTATTGACTTCCCCAAGGAGGAGGAGGCTGTCCTCCAGAGATGGCGTGAGATCAAGGCATTTGAGCGTCAGGTAAGTCTGATCTCTTTTCGCTCCAGAGACAACAGTCGCACTCTCTGTTTACGTCGAGGCCATTTCGTGTTTTTTTTGCTCCCGTACTGACAATCATCGCGTATGCAGCTAGAGTTAACAAAGGGCAAACCCCTTTACACCTTTTATGACGGGCCTCCTTTCGCCACTGGTCTTCCTCACTATGGCCACTTGCTGGCCTCCACCATCAAGGACATTATCCCGAGATATTGGTCCATGAAGGGCTTTCACGTTGAAAGACGCTTCGGGTGGGACACCCATGGACTACCTATCGAGCACGAGATTGACAAGAAGTTGGGCATTTCTGGCAAGGCTGCTGTCATGCAGTTGGGATTGAAGAACTACAATGCCGAATGTCGATCTATTGTCATGCGCTACAGCGGGGAGTGGCGCCATACCGTTGAGAGACTCGGCCGTTGGATCGACTTCGACAACGACTACAAGGTAAGATCGCGTACCATGTATCCTAGACTACTGAGATTGACTAACGCCCGTTCTCCGAAGACCATGGACCCTACCTTCATGGAGTCTGAATGGTGGGTTTTCAAGCAGCTATTCGACAAAGGCGCTGTCTATCAGGGCCATCGCGTCATGCCTTACTCAACAGCCCTGACCACAGCATTGAGCAACTTTGAGGCCAATCAAAACTATCAGGATGTCAGCGACCCTGCCATCGTCATCTCATTTCCCCTGATCGAAGACCCCGAGACTCACCTGCTGGCGTGGACGACGACGCCGTGGACCTTGCCTTCGCATCTCGGACTGGCTACGCACCCTGATCTCGAATACATCAAGATTCTTGACGAGAAGTCAGGCAAGAAATACATTCTGCTCGAGAAACTTCTTGGTACACTGTACAAGGACGTGAAGAAGGCCAAATTCAAGATCCTTGAGAAGATCAGCGGCAAGGCCATGCTCGGCTGGAAGTACGAGCCCCCCTTCAACTACTTCTATGATGAATACAAGGACGTTGCCTTCAGGGTACTGAACGCTACCTACATTACTGATGACAGTGGTACTGGCATTGTTCACCAGGCACCTGCTTTCGGTGAGGACGATTACAACGTCGCCGTTGCAGCTGGCATTGTCACCGAGAACAGGGCGCCTCCCGACCCTATTGACGACAGTGGTCACTTCACCAGCCGCGTCTCTGATTTCGCCGGCATGCACGTCAAGGAGGCCGACAAGCATATCATCAAACACCTGAAGGGTGCCGGAAAGATTGTGGTCGACTCCACGCTCAAGCACTCATACCCCATGTGCTACCGTTCTGACACTCCTCTCATTTACCGCGCAGTACCCTCGTGGTTCGTCCGCATCCCCGAGATTATCCCTCAGATGCTGGAGAACATCAAAGGCTCTCACTGGGTGCCTTCTTTTGTCAAGGAGAGGCGGTTTGCCAGCTGGATCGAGAACGCCCGTGACTGGAACGTCTCACGAAACCGTTACTGGGGTACTCCCATTCCACTTTGGGTCAGCGATGACTTGGAAGAGCGAGTGTGTGTCGGCAGCGTGCAGGAGTTGCGTGAGCTGAGTGGCTACACTGGAGACCTGTCTGACCTACACCGAGACAGCATCGACCATATCACGATTCCTAGCAAAATGGGCAAGGGAACTTTGAGACGCATTGAGGAAGTGTTCGATTGTTGGTTCGAATCTGGCAGTATGCCATACGCCAGTCAGCACTACCCCTTCGAGAACGTTGAAAAGTTCGAGAAGTCGTTCCCTGGTGACTTCATTGCCGAAGGCTTGGATCAGACCAGAGGGTGGTTCTATACCCTACTTGTCCTGGGCACGCA